TTTAGGGTTTGGGTTTAGGGTTTCCTTGCTGCCAACACCGTGTTTCTCAAACTTCCGGGGTCTTCCCTGAGGCCCTGGTCGAGCATCCGGCTAAGCAACCGGGAAGTCGCAAAATGCCGCTCAACCGAAAACGAACAAAGTCGATATGGAGGCCAATAGAACTGAAGAATGAAGACCAGCTTATGGAAGTAGCTGCTAAAGCAGCAAATCAATCGCTGCCATACCCCAGAACTGATGTTGGCCCTCAGCTGAAGGATACACATACCTCAGCGAAAAGCCAAGAAAATACTAAAATATAATGTACTCATATACTATCATATAGTCTAGTATACACTGGTATTGCAAGTGACCCGAAACCGACGGCCTGGGTACCACCTGCCTGGCTGGCACTCCTGCATCGAGAGACAGGTGCTTTATGTTCATTGCAGTGACAGCAAAACGTGCCGCAGGCCTGAAGAAGCAGATGGAATACCTTGCGCTCTTCGCTCTCTCTCTCTCTCTCTCTCTCTCACTCACTCACTCACTCACTCACTCACTCACTCACTCTCTCCCTCTCTCTCTCTCTCCCTCTCTCTCTCTCTCTCTCCCTCTCTCTCTGGTTCTTCTCTGGTGCATGGCTTGCAGGCATTCATGCATGCGTGCATACATGCATTCATGCGTAAGTACATACATGCACGCACACATGCCGGCATAGATGCATACATATACACACACACATACGGATATTCACACTTGCACACTTACATGCATGCATAGACGCAAGCACAAACATGCATGCAGACACACAAGCATAACATACGTATATACGTACATACTTAATCTCCTACGTACATACATTGACACACGTACATACCTACATGCATACATACATACATACATACATACATACATACATACATGCATAGGCGCATACATACTTACACAGATAGCAGCAGACATGCACACTGGCATAGACATACGCGGACGTATCCGTGGTCTCTAGCGGTCTTATCTTCAATCTGATCTACCCTTCCATTTTGCCTGCAATGTCCCTCCCTGATGTCCGTTTGCGTGCCTTTGTCTGCTTATGTGTGTATGTAGATGTGCTACCGTGTGGGGAGATGTCCATTTGCTACAGTACTTGCTTGGCAAGCCCTTTTCTTCATTCAGCATCCTAGCAATCGTGCAGATGCTACCGTGTCCATGCCCCTCTGTAAACTGTCCATACATGGTGATACCTTGCATCCAAACCAGAGGTCTGTGCGTGTCGCACCGACTGTCCATCACATGAGGTTCTGGTGGAGGACTTCGAAGAAGCCTTCACCAAGCGCCTGCAACTGCCTTGGCATTTTGGACGGTCAGGGTAGTCGGTTTTCGGCACCAGCTGCAGACGTGCAGAAAGTTGGAGTGAGAGTAGCAATGGCTCTAAATTCAGTATGACAGTGCGCTAGTGCTCACAAGCACACACATAGCAGCAAAGGCAACGTCTGTCAGAATTCGAATCTCACCGTCGTCATCTCTACCCCCGTCCACTCACCACCGTGCATGAGGCAAACAGGCCTGCTTCGTCTCCGGGATCTCGCGTCTGTCGCGCCTTTGTGCGGTGCTTACGTGGTACAGCACCTATCGCTTGGGAGGCTGTGCTTCGACCTGGAATTCCCAGCTTTGAGCTTTTCTTGTCCGTCTGCTCTGTTTGGAGGTTGGACTGGGAAAAGCCAGAGCTGCCAAAGATGTTGACCGGGCGTGTGAGGTCGCTCTTAGAAGGCGAGGCCTCACATCCTCTGCATCTTTCCTGCATGTTCGCACCATGCCATGCCCAGGATCTTGCGACGCTTGGTGCAAAGCCGCCGGCAGCATCTGTTCAGATGCTTGGCTAAAGTAGACCACCCAACGAATGCCTCTCAGAATAGAGCTGCTCCAGAGGCCTTCATCACCCATGCAGGTGTAGTCTTTTCCTGGGCCTGAGAGCCGAAGCTACAGGGGTGGCTGCTATGTGCCCAAAACGCCCGATTCCAAGACTCGGCTGCATGCCGCTAATGCTCGCGGGCCCCCATGAGCGGTGTATTGGCAGAGTTCACAGAGTCAAAGTCGTGGCAGAAGCATGGCATCCTCTGTCGGCCTAGTCCGCAGGGCCGGCCCCGTGGGGTCTGCATTGCGTGGGATCAAGTCCAGGCATCAAGGGATATGGATTTCCGTCCTAATTCAGGAACTAACATCGCTTCCGGTCCCTTTGTGCTGCGTTTATTGAGTTGGACATAGTAAAGTGCCGAACGATCCACAGGTACTTGCATCATGATGTCTTCGTGGGTGCATAGCAGACCTTGCCACGGGTTCTCTGCGTCTGCAGTTTTTTTTTTCAAGATTCCGCTAGTCTGCAGCTTCAGCCCTCCTTGCCAGAGCCAAGAGAACCCATCCTATGTCGGTAAGGAAGAGCTACTATGTGCTCGAGCTCTTCTTCGGCGTGCACTGGAGCTCAGATGGGATCGGGCTTCTTTTGAGGTTCTCCTGCTGCAGAATCTTGTCGGACGTTGTGAGGTCTACGGAAGCCTGCCCATGGACGAGAGATTACGGTCCGCACCCCAAGCTACGTGCAAGGCACCGCCACCCTGGTTGATCTTTTTGTGCAGTCCAGGATTTGCCGGGAGCTACTTCCTCCTGAAAAGCGGGACCGCAAGGCCATCGCCAGTCCCACCTAGTCTTGTCACAAGAAGTTTGTTGCAGTTACAACATGTTACTCTGCTGTCGTTGTGCTGTTGTGATTGTTGTTCTTTCCCTTCATATCAACATAAGAGTTGGTGGTTATCTACTCTCCTGCTTCCGGTTGTGGGCAGACAAGCAAGTGCAACAGCTATCGTGTTAGGCTGCAAGTACGTCGCCGCACCAGTGTTCGACATCGCCTTGGGAGATGTGATGTAATGTGGATACCACCGTGTTCGTGGTGGCGGATGTGATCGAGGTGTATGTGATTATGGGTGCTGGCATGGATCCATTCGCTGTGGGGGGTTTCCTGACAGCCCTACCAACAATGACAACACATAGCAGCCTTTGCGTGGTTGTGGATGAATGTCGTGGTAGCTATGGGTGTTATTACCTGGCAAACTTGGTGAGTGGACGTACAAAACGGCTCTGCTCCTGCCCCCAATTGTGACTGTAATTATGATGGCTGCTGGCTTCGCTTTGTTTTCTGGTTGCTTGCTTGCCTGCCTACCAGCCTACTTGTCTGCTGCTTGCTGTGATTGTTTTTCTGTGGTTTGATGTTCGTTATGCTCTTTGCTTTTTCTTTCGTTACCGGTGCTGTTTCTGTCATGTCTGTGATCGTTTTACGACGCGACCTGTACTTTCTGTCGTCTTTGTTCTCAAGTTCCTGAAAGAGTTTCGGAGAGAGTGGCACAGGCACATCTCCAAGTGGATCGCGGGCAGGCGGGGAATTGAATTGAAATATGATTCATGTCTCTTCAGACGATTCCGCTTCAATGGTTAATTAAGTGAAGCTACAGATACGAAAAGGGCGCGGGGCTGAACTAAACTACGGAAGCTTATTCAGAGTCTTGATGTTGGAACCTGCAAGACTGCAGGTCTCGGTACAAGAAAGTGCATCAAAGAGGGGGGGGAGAGCCAGAGACATAGACATTGCGGGGTGCAAGTGAGACTAGACCGTCTAGTCGCCGGCGTGCCGGCCTTAAACTGGGAAACCTGCAGGGAGCATGCAGACAGCCTGCTCCGTGACTGTGCTGAGGAAGACGAACGGTGTGAGTTTTGGCACCGGGGTTCGACCCTGCATGCTGCACTTCTAGTAAGCAAGCGTGCTGTCGCAGGCTTCGGGACTTGTGTTTGGAGTTCACGAGCTCGTGTGGTGGTGAGGATTTCCTGAAGAATACCTTCACGGGACTCATGAAGCTGACCGTGGAGGACTTCGTCGTCATCGCCCGTGGCATCTGAGCAAGATTCACGAAATCCCTGCAAGGAACTTCGGAATCCGTTGAGCATCCGCTTCGCTGGAGAGGCGTGGAAGAGCTAGAAGAGTAAGATGATCTTGAGCAGTGGCTAGGCGGTGTTTGTCCGCGGGTTCTACTCGACTTCTCTCGAGCATTGTCCTCATTCGAAACTGTGGGCTCGAACTGCCAGTTGAGGAAAGCTTATGGTTTCACCCGTGGTACGCGACAGGGCTTGCCAGTCAGTGTCCCGACGGGGCGTGCCTTTTTCGCATGGATCCTGTGCTTGCTGTGCCTCTAAGTTTCCACAACTTCTGGGTGACAGTGCTCTGCATTCCAGTTGTGGTTTGGGCTGCACAGATCAGCTACCGTCTTCTCCTCGCGGTATTTCTGCATTATCGGTTGAACACCAGCCGGCCACTGGTTCTCGATCGCATGAGCATCTTTGTTGATGACCTTCAGCAGCTCATCCGCCAGCACTTCAACCAGATACTGCGAATTCGTCGCACGGTGCCTTCGAAGATGGTTTCCAAGGTCCAGCTCATGGTCCATGTTCAGCCTGAGAGCTTGGCGGTCCAGTCTGATTCGGGCGACAGGATCAGCTTGCAATTTTCGGTCGACGCATCACAGCCCTGTGCTGCTATGTTTTTCTGGGGGGTCACGAACCAGGCATGCCAGCAGCTGCTGCTCCTTGGTTCGGAAGGCTTAGCTTTTCTGGATCCGGAACGGGCGGCCTCCGTGTTTCCCAGCGGCCAATATGCCCATCGATCCACGGCAGCTTTTCCAGCTGGGCTTGGGCAGCCGGTGAGACTAGGCAAAGCACATGCACTTGCTAAGAGCTTGCTTCGAAGGCTGCAAGTAGTGAATGGGGTCTGTCCTTGTTGCTTCAGGCAGAGTGTCTCAGTTCAGCCTTGTTCGATGCTTGTAGCACGTCTTGCCCCAGATGAAGACTTGGCGGCCATGCGGCGAGCCGGCTATGATCTCCTGCGAGCTGCAACGCAGAGCGCCGGAGCGGACTCGGCAGACGACAGGACCGCGCAGGGTGCTAGAAGACTGGTGCGTGCAGAGTTCCAACGGCCATGTTTCCTGAAATTGTCTTGACCAGGATTCCTCTAGTGATCTGCACAGGGGCGCCTGCGAGTGTTCTGGACGACGCGAGCTCTGCGAACATGCAGCTAACCTTTGCGACTCGATCAGCATGTGAGACTCTGTGAGACATGCAGCAACCACCAGTCGCCTAGCCAGGCAGGTCCTGCCAGCTTGTGTGCCGAGCCTGTGCGAGGTGCGCTTTCGAAGAGAAAGCACATCCGGGCCCGTTCAATGTGAAGTCCTCCGGCAACTGGTGGCATCCAAAGACGTGTTCCATCAGATTCTGGGTATCTACGGCTTCGAAGAGGGAGACAGAGAAACCGAGTGCATGGTCTGTTATGATCGTCCACGGAGTGTTGTGGTGCTGCCTTGCCGCCATTGCTTCGTGTGCCCCGCTTGCCTACGGTCCCTTCGTGAAGAGAAGTGCCCTATGTGCCGAGCCCGGGCTGCACAATGCATCTCAGTTCGTGCTTGCGGCGTATGAATACAAGAGTACATAATTACATGCACATGTCTATACACATATGCATGTATATATATATATATGTGTATATACATACATACATGCGTGCATACATACATACACACATATATATATGTATACACGCACATACACATCTCTCTCTCTCTCTACATATATGTCTATATACACATATCCGTACATACATACATACATACATACATACATACATACATACATACATACACACGCACACACACACACACACATATATATATATATATATACATGTATACGCTTGCACGTACGTATAGACCTGTGTGTGTGTGCGCGTTTTATATAAATAGATAGATAAAGCGATAAATAGAGATATCGACAGATAGATAGATCGATAGATCCATAGATCGATGGGTCGATAGATCCATAGATCGATGGGTCGATAGATCGATAGATCGATCGATAGATAGATAGATGGGTAGATAGGTAGATAGATAGATAGATAGATAGATAGATAGAGAGATAGATATACACATACACATACATGCACACATACATACACACATACATACATACATACATACATACATACATACATACACACACACATACATACATACATACATGCACACATACATGCACACATACAAATGTCTACATAATTTGCATACATGCACATATGCATACAAGCACACATGCCTGCTTGCCTGCCTGCACGCCTGCATGCATGCAGGACAAACGGACACACGCACATACAATGACACACACGCACACACACACACACACACACACCCACACGCACACACACACACACAGACACACACACACACGCGCACACACACACACGCAGAGACACACTCACCCGCAGCAACAGCAAAAAACAAAACACACACACCCGCAGC